TTTTTTGTGACTGTAAGAGAACACAAAAGAACTTATTAAGTCTCCAGTTGCAGGGTGAGGGATGGTTGTGTCACCTAGGACTGGATGCTGGTTTAAAATATGCTGCAGTGACAAACTGAGCATCTGCTTGGTGTTTGTCATCACCTCCCTTCGCTCTTATGGTTTTCCCTGTACACCTCAGGATTTAAAGTTTAAGCTTTTTGTCAGCCCTCTCTGTAGAATAGCTGCTTCCTGAAATTATATCTTCATGCATCTCATGAGGAGGCTGACAGAAATGTTGCTTCTTCTAACTCTTAAATCAAACTTAGTTTTTGTTGTATTTGAGTCAAACAGTGTGATTGCTTATACAGACTGCATGGCTGCACATTGCCTCTGTGCATATTTGGAGGGTGGTCTTACCTAAGGAATCAATAATTAAATTCCCGAAAACAACAAATCCAACTAAGTGGCTTCTTGTTTTTTTTTTACATTTATTTACATTTTCATCTGTAGATTTTGAAAACTTAAAGTTGCTTAAATTAAGTATGAACATTAGATTTTTAGTGGAAATTGTTTGGTTCTAAGATTTGGCTTACTTTCTCACCTTTTTTCACATTATAACCACAAATCTGATCATATTTTATTTTGTATATTAACTGTTTTTAATTTACAAATCCACTGTATGAAGTGTATCAGGCATTTGTCTTCAGTCTTACTTATCCTGATCCAAAACGCATATCTTGAAACTTATACAATGTATTATAAAAGGTGCAACATGGGACCTTTTCTAAAGCTTCTGCTGTATAAGTGAAACTGCAGTTATTTTATTTGTTTGGTTTTTTTTTTTCTTTTTAATGGTATATTGTGCAGATCAAGTGCATCTTTCTAACAGTTCAGTCCATGACAGGAACATTATATTCTTCAGATATGGCAATTAAATATAAGGAATGAAATCAGCTGCCAGATAACTGAAATTGAAAGAAAGAATAAAAATGGGATTACTAGAAGTGCCAGCTCTCTGGAGTTTTTGTTTGCTTGGATGCTGCACAAAACCACAAAATATCCAAGAGCCATAGCTGTTTTAAAAGTCATTTTTTGCAGAAGAAATATGAGGTATAACTTGTAAATTAGTACCCCATCAGTGTGTACCTCTTGGCTGTTGACTACTGGAAACAGGTACCAGTCCCAATATTACTCTGAGAAGGATTAAGCAGGTGTAAAAAATAGATGGATGTAAATTAGAGAGCTCTTGAGGATTGCTAATGGGTAAATTTCCTTACCTATCAACATATTTAGGAAAACTGAGCCCCACTCGATGAACACCTGCTGCCCTTAGGCTTCTTTATGGAAATCTAAGCTCACCAGCTGTGCCAGACTGCAAATGAGTGACTTATCTGTTTGGCTGTTCAGACCCTATTTCTGGTTTTCTTATGGATTTTTTTATACTCATTCGGGCTCTGCATTCTTTACAAATCAGCTCCCGAAGAGCAAGCAGCAACATTTGTTTGGATGTAAGCAGTTTCCCCTGATGCTTCTAAAAGCATGAAATACATATGGTTTGATTTAACTCTGTTTTTCATACCTTTTCTTCGGAAGCGAGCCGAAAGCTGATCTATAAGGAGGTCCACTGGAAAACTGAGGCCAAAGAAAAGAATAAGAAATAAAAAAATAATAATTTACACAGTTTATTTTCCTACTGGGAGTTAGGACTCTGCAGAGCAGTTGATACTGATGGTTCAAACTGTGCATCATAAAGAATTTTTCATAGTGTAGATTATATGAGGTCAATAAAATGACAGAAGAGTCCATGCAGTCTGTAAGTGTAATAAGCTGCAGTCACGAAAATATCTGCTGCTTTGTTACACACCAGGGATACCAGTGGGCAGGGATTCCTGCCAAGACAAAGTCAGTGTTCTTATCTGAAACTGCCTCGATGGACCAATGTCCTTTGGCGGTCACTGAGCTCACTTTGTGTTCCAATCAAAATTAGGCATTTTGGATGGAAGTCAATCATGTTTCAGACAGGAGATTGTCCTTTTGGCTAGAAGAGAATGCAACATGGGTCAGTGATATAAATGAAACAATGTTTTTTTTTTGTTGCAGCTTGTCATTATTGCATAAAAAACTACTTTTGTTATGATGTGGAGATAAGTTTGCAGAGGTGCATAAACAATGAGAGGAAACTGAAGATTCCAAATGTGTCGTAAACCTTCTACCTCCTTGTATTCTCAAGGTATTATACATAGTGCTGTTAGCTCAGTGTTTTTTCATAAATGTGTGTTGAATTGTAAAAATAGATTTTAAAGATTGGAGCTGAAAACCAACAGGATTTAACCTTCAAAGATTTAAAATAAGGGGCACTATATTGGACATTAATTTTTTTTGTCTGTGTCTGTGCAACAATCTGGTGTTTTGCTTTTGAACTACAGAGATTGCAACCCAGATGTTAAGAATTGTTAATGTTTTAGTTCTTCCTATTAAAACAGGTGCAAAGGTATCAAACATTAGCTTGTTTCATGGTTTAAAGAATTGAAGGATGAATTCCTGTTGTGAGAAGTTATAGATAGGTGCAAACCCCACCCCAATATCCCAAGTGTTTGTTTACTTTAGGCCACCTATAATAGATTACAGATCAGCTGCAGGTTTTTATATTAAAAGCTTGTATCAGTTATTTTAATTCCACTGATGGCTTTTTTTTGCTGTGTAGGCCACCTTGAAATTTTCTACCTACATTAGCTAGACATACACTGGTTTTGTACTTCAGTGTTAACACCAAATAAATCTCCATATCATTGCATTAATTCTTCCTAGGAAGAATATATGGGTTTCTTATTTTATCTTTTCTGTGAGAATCTTGATGTCTGCAGGTGCTAGGGTTGCTTTGCTGCAAAGAAAGGATTTGTATCTAAATTGTTGGACAAATATTAAATAACCTGATAAGTTAAGCAGAACTATGGTTTATTTTGGCCAATGTAGTATACATCTCCTCAGTCAGGTCAGTAAAAGTGCTGAATTCATATAATACCAATTTAGTATGTCATAGAGCAAACAATGTTAGCAATAGTTTTAAATTAGTCTTCATTGGGCATGTTTCAAAGCAATGCTTTAAAAGCAAATATGCATTTTTAATAATTCTTATGACTTAAGATGCAAAGAAACAACTGACTTAAACAGTTTCAATGATTCTCGCCTTCTAAAGTCTGCAGTAGTTCTTTGGTTTAAAGTTATTGCATGTCTGTTTTTTTTTGTTTGTTTTTTTTATTCACAGTCATTAGTCTCTCATGATGGAAGTTAAATTATCTGTGCCTATATAGTTTGGAGAGAGTGCTTGCATACACAACAGTAGTTAAGAAGCCTCAAGGCCTCTTCACTGCTCAGCTTGAGCTCCTCAGTGGGGGAAAGACATTTCTTGAGCAGGCACATTAATCTGGACTCAGGCACAGAACAACAGCCAAGCGAAGCTGCAGGTGAGAAATATGACAACAAACCATACTTTCTAAACCGCAGTGTCGGAAAGAGGAAGAAGTGTTTGGGGAGGCAGCAGGAAGGATTCGGGAGGAGGTGAGGGAAAAAAGAAAGTTGAGTGGAAAGAAGCAAGAGAGCAAGAGAGAGGTTGAGTTTTGTCGGAAAACTCGGCATCCTCTCTGCAAGCCCGAGGCTGTAAGTTGTCACTTAAAATATTTTCCCCGCCACAGCTTGGTAGATTTCGTGCCCATGACTAATTTTATGCCTTTCTGAAGCCCAGTAGGTTAAATAAACAGCAGTGATTGTTGGAAGGCAGGTGTTTTTGACATAAAACTTTATTAGTATGTAAGAGCACAGTAAAAGCCATGCAGCATTTTCTTTAACCTTTTCTGTAAGGTCTTTTTCTCTTTTCCCCACAAGTAACATATATTTAAATTGCCAACATAATAAGCAGAAATCACTTCTCTAGGTGAGGCTTTAAAAAAAAAAAGCATTTCAGAACTTCAGTTCTTCTCCACACCTCAGTGCATGTTTTCCTTTGTAGGAATGATTTGTTATTGCTTTCTTTAATTGGCTGGATTAAAATCAATTCCACCTTGTGCAGAAAGGTATCATAAATCACACAGCAACATGGTTTTGTGGCAAAGCTGATGTATTTCATCTATTCAGCCAGTCAGCAATCGATCATGAAAATGCTCATGAATCTTCTGGACAGGCTAAATGGTATTTAATCTGCAAAAAGTGAAGTGCCAAATAACTGGCTTGTTGCAACTCTGCGTGATGCCCTTGACCTTTTTGTGCTTCCTTCAGCGGTAGGCTTTTAAATTATCAATAAGCAAAGCACTGAACCGTGCTTCAGGTGGACAGAATGCAAACAGTCTCACATGCGCCTGAGAGGTCAAAGCACAAGAGTATTATAGCTGCAAGTTTTTATAATGATGGTTTTGTAAACACAGACAAGATGTTTCATAGAGGTGATTAGCTACCATTGTTGCAATTATTAGTCATTTTTAAGATTTATCAGCTTCTAAATGGACGCATAAAATTGAGTTAGCTTTTGAAATGGAAGTCACCTTGGACAAGAACATCAGCACAGCCGGTAAATGGCAGTAATGATAAGCGTTATAAGCTTATTAATGTGATCAGGCCGTCTTCCTAATCCTGTCTTTTACATTAGATAACAGTCAGAGAATGATTGCTGCCACCTTTTCTTTCTGAAATCCCAGACATCTCTTTCTGCTCTGCTTGGTAATCAGGGCATTAAAGAGGATTGCTGCAGCCTTTTTATATTGTTCATCTGTTGTTATCGTATGCTTTCAATCATTCGTCGGTTGTATTTCATATGTAGACTACCAGCTCTGCAAAACACCAAGTTTTGACAGGATAGAAATGCACCAACTAAGTGCCTGTGCATCATTTTGTACGCCAGTGATGAAGCAAAGTATTTCAAACTGTGATGTTTCTACAGGTCTGTTTCTTTTAAAAGTGCTGCATGTAATGAAAAACTACTTTGATCTTCAACGTTAACAAATGTCTTTGGTATTTTTCTCTCACAGCTCCCATCAACCCTCACCTAAGTAAGTAACATCTCCTCTCTAGCCTCCATTAAAGTCTGTAAAAGCATTTGGCATGACTAGATTATGTAATAATAGTTAGTTAGTTTTTTTTGTTATTTCATTTTTGGTTTTCATGTTCTTTAGTTATTACTTTGGTATTAATCTTAATTTTAATGTCTCATATCCTGTTTTTGTTCTAGGCCATCCATTTTTCATTAAATTGTTTTTTCACTCAAAACTTCTGCTTCTCTCATTTCTCCATTTGGGTCCACAGGTTCCAAGATCGCAATAATTTTATTGGGAACAAGTCAAGATTTTAGCAATATTTTGTTGTGAACTAAAAGTCAATTTTTATTGTCATATTTCACATAGTGGAATATGCCCCTGTAGGCTTCACTATAGACTTTGATGAGAATATTTTGACAGATTCACATGACCTAACTGCTGGTGCACCACTGATCCTGAATATACATTCGGCTTAAAATAGTACAGAAAAGTAACACCTTTAAGAAGCTGATAAATAGTTTTCTGTGATATCTGTTATGTAAATATTTGTGGCTGAATTTATACTCATGAAGTTCATAAATCCTTGAGTAAACAGGAAGATATATAAATTTTTTCATATTCGTTAAGAAAGATTAAAGATACCTGTGTATACATTTTCCAAATGTATAAATTTTTCTCACAATAAAGTGGCTGAAAGTATTTCTTATATACAAGTATATTTAAGTATGATAACATTTTAGAACCTATTATATTTACCCTGGGGTAATACATCAAAATGCATTTAGAGATTACTTTACTGTTTTGTCATATTTACAACTAATATACTAATTATTACACATTTACGATAAAATTATATTTAGAAATGCATTAGTAATTAGTAATAATCTGGTCACAAAAACAGAAATATTTGGGTTCAAATGACCAAATGTAAGATTATTTGGGTTCAAATGACCAAATGTAAGATTATGAAAGAAATGTAAGATGTAAGGCAAATTATTTGAAATTGGATCAACCTGATTGATAACATTCAGTCTAGATTCTTCTTCTAGATATCTTCTTATTCTATTGCTGTTTGAAAGCTGCAAAGTAGTGATATTGTAGTATTGTCATTGTTTACTATTAGTGTGGCCTTGCAGCAATTAAGTAGGTAAAATTTGCTACTGTATGGCTTTTTTCACAGATAAAGATCACAAAGTTATGTACTGAAAAAAGAGAGCAACAGATAAACATGTTCTAGAATCTATCTAGAAATGGGTCTGAAAGAGGTTGAGGCTCTTTGGACGCTTTAGTAAATGAATGTCAACCAACTTCAGGAAAATTCTTTATTGTTTGGCTCTATGAGCACATTCAAAGGCTGCCTTCTTTCTTACTGAATTCCAAGAACCCCTAATATTAGCTTACATTATTTTATCTGAATACGGAGATGCTGCAGCAGCCAGACAGCACTTCAGATTTATCACTGACTAGACATTATCAATGCTTTAACTTTATTAATATATATCCCAAAGAAAACCAATATTTTCACATAAAACTAAATGATCATCACACAACCACTCATTCTAAATTATTATCAAGTATTTGTATTTTGGGGTTTATAAAAATCTAAATGCTGATGAAGGTTCTCAGTCATCCAGGTCATAGTCATTCCGTAAAAATTCACAAAAATATCCACTGGACTTGGTTTCCAAGATTTGAAGACGTTTCTCCACCTCTCCAGGAAGCTTTCTCAATTCAAATGTCTGGATCCGCAGTGAGTTTGAGTCTTATATTGGCAAGGCCTTGTATGGCTTGGAAACATGCAAATGGTAACCGATGAATGGGTTGTTTGGTTCCATCGTTAGCCTGTAATATCTGAAACCTGTCTATGATTCTGAGGGTCGGTCGTTAAAGGGGGGGATTGCCGTTAAGGGGGGGATTGTCTCCTGTAATACCTGAAACCTGTCTATGGTTGTTAAGAGTCGGTTGTTAAGGAGGTATTGTTCACCGGCTGGAGTGGGTAGGACCCTTGTTCCTCTGTGATGGGGTGGGGGGTTTGGTGATATCTGGAAGGGATCATGTCTATGATTGAATTGTATGTTTTTGGAAGCTGGAGTCCACCACCTCTGTCTAAAGTTGTTTTTTCTCTCTTAACATAGATGGCTTCCTTCACGCCCCTCTCAAACCACCTATTTTCTTTATCCAAAATGTGAACATTCTGGTCCTCAATGTCCTTTGTCCACATGGTGTAGGTGTACTGCGGAGTCTTGTCTAGAGGAGGCCGCTCTTCTGTGTTGGGCCATGCGTCTGTGGAGACAACCTCTCCCCCCCCTTTAACGACCAATCCTCAGAATCATAGACAGGTTCAGATATTACAGGCTAACGATGGAACCAAACGACCCATTCATCGGTTACCATTGCATGTTTCCAAGCGATACAAGGCCTTGCCTATATAAGACTCAAACTCACTGCGGATCCAGACATTTGAATTGATAAAGCTTCCTGGAGAGGTGGTGAAACATCTTCAAATCTTGGAAACCAAGTCCAGTGGATATTTTTTGAATTTTTACGGAATAAAAATCTAAATGTCCATTCCTACTTTAGCATTGGTCATTTCTATCATTTCTGCCTGTTGCTATTAAAAATAAGGGTGTTAAGTTTGATTTGTAAATTCAGATTGTCTTGATGTCTTGTTCATCTATAAGTGTAGATAAATATTAAAGTTTAAAATTAAGCTAGAATTTATCCCAATGAGCAACACTAAACACCTTTGATAACAGTAAAAAATACTTACATATTTGTGCGTTTTTTTTATTTATTGGCATATTTCCTCCTCTGTGAGCATGTATCTGATGCTTTAAGCTTTGTTCCATTTGTTGTGCATCTTCATACATAAAACTCTACATATTCACTTTATTCATGCCTTGAGAATCCATGCTTAATCATTGTTTACTATACTGAGGTGCACTGCTGTGTGGAGCTGCTGTTATATATTTATATACAGCTGATTTATATTTTGGTGGGTGTTCACACAAACATTGCCAGCACAATAACAAACATCCTAATCACCGGGATCATTATCCAAATCCCCGTAGGAGACTGTCTTACCTAAACGCCTCCTCTTACGACCCTCAATCCTCTACCTATTCTCTGAATCCTCGCTTCCCTCTCGGGTGCAGGAGGCAGAAACATTTAGTTTAGCTCAGAGCGGATGGGGGCGTTAATGTCTCACACCAGCCCTCCATTTAAATGCGGTATGCTTGTGAGAAAAAAGTCAAGAGTGCCGGTAAACGCAGCCTCACAGCTCTCTCCCACCATCCATGCCCTCTTCCATTCTTCAGTCGATCCACCCACTATGTACCACTGTCTATGTTACCTACATTACCTGAGTAAAAGCTGGAGATCCTACTCCTCGCAAGGTCAACGCTCCAAGCCGCTCCAGGCCACATTTTAATAAATCAATGAATATTTATTAGCTCACAGGCCCACATCCCGCATCTAAATGTTCCCCGTTTACAATCTCTTTGAGGACATAGCTTTGCGGTGCCATGTCCTCTGGTTATGCATGTAGCTTTGTTTGTTTTACGGATTAAATGGAGGTTTTGACACCAACGATCCTGCTGCTCCGCCCTCATTAAACCCAAATGCACAAGTTTTTCACTGTTGTTATAGTTTTGTTTTTTTCTTGCGTGGAATTTCTGACTATTCATTTGCATACTAACTGTTAGACATAACCTTCAAAGTGACCCATCATAACCATTATATTACCCTTTCCTCTTATTTAATTTTCCCAGTAGACTAGACTTTTTTAAAACAATTGCTGTCAAAGGGGCATGAAAAGATGCAGCGAAAAAGAAACAGTCGGGGGGATGGAGGGTCTCAGGGCTCCACCTGCAGTGCACCTTGAAGATGAGGTGTCATTGAGATGATGGTGATTTTAAAACTGATTACATATAGAATGTGTGCAAATGAAGCCTGCCTTAGCCTCTGAGGAGAGTCATCTCATTTTTTTTAGCATCAGTTATGTGCAAAGAAGAGATTTGAGCTGCTTCACCCCCCTGCAAGAAGCCTTAAAATAATATTGCCAAATTAGAAATATTACCATATTAGTATTTTTCCTTTTGGCTGAGTGCTTTAGTAATGGCACGCCTTTTACTTATACACATCTACACTAATTTTTCAGCATCCTATCTCCATCAGCTTACTAGACTGTCTTTCTTTGTCAGGAAAAGGTTAAAAACATTTAGTGCTGCATTCTCTGCAGTCACACAGGGGTCACATCTTACTTTAGACATCTTTCAGACCACATTTCATGATGTAATTAGGACTTGGATTGTTGTATGTACTCCTGAGACTGAGGCATTACATGAAAGCTCATGAATATACAGAAGGCATCTTGCAGCTCACGTGTATCATTGTAGCTTCCAGGCAGTTTGTACTGTTCTCTGCTCTCTTTGTGATGATGTGAACTCTCGGGTGTGCTCTCTGCCGATCTCTAGGGGAGTTCCACTGCAGCTTTGAGGAAGAGCCGATCTGCATGTTTACCCAGGACAAGAATGATGATTTTGATTGGACAAGGCACAGCGCTGCCACCCGGGACACAAAGTATACACCCAACACTGGCCCCAGCGCCGACCACACTGGGTCTAAACAGGGTAAGTGTTTCTATACAAAAGCAGGTTTTACATTTTCAGAGAAGAGAAATATGATCAGCAAAAATATGGTTAAAAACTTAGTTGCAATTATAGCCATCATTTCTTCTCATCATGTAGTAATTTCTATCAAATCTAGGAAATACAGTTACATTAATCTACTTCTACAGTAGTATTGAAGAAATCTTTCAGCTTTACTGCTGTTTTCTTTTCTCTATAATTGTTTTATCCGATGCAGAAAGTCTAAGCGCATCCCTGGGAAACCATAAAAATGCAGCATTGAGTTTATGGGAGATCTCATTTTAATTTTCACTGCAGTTTCCTCTATGCGCTTTTTGGCAGCTTACTGGCACAGCAGAGGTAAAACCACAGAAGTGTCTTTGAGGTCGTACATGATGACAGATTTCAAATAAATGTATAAATAACACAGTCTGAGGTTTTTGGTAAAAAATTAATGAAGCGTTTCTGTTCATGAACAGTCGTCCTCAATTTAGAACAAGCTTACAACTCTTACAAGGATAAAGCCACAGAATATAGCAGTAAGATTTAGAGGCTAAATAGAAGTGACAGCATCAGAACTAGCACCTCTCTGAAAAGTTCAGACTTTTTATTTCTAGGAATTTCAATAAAAATTTCTAAAAGCCAATACTTTCCTCTTTCTTACAGCTTTTCTAACTATGCTGGCTCTCAGGAAAGCTGTTCTGTGACATTTACTTTTTACTTTTTGATTTTTGGATCCATACAAAGTAGATAATTATAATTAGAGATTATTAAGTACTGTAATGTTTTATAGCTTTAAACTATAGCGAAACTGTAAATGACAATACATTGCATATTGGTTTTTCCAAAGAAATTATGCTGGATTCATATTTCTTTAAGCGTGTCACCTCTTTAATTAAACCAGTGGTTTCCCAAAGTGAAAATTCAGAACTAAAGGCTAACCTCTCATCCAATCACCCTCTGATGCTTTGTTGCTGCAAGCCGATCGGGCCTATGCATGCCTCTGCCATTTCCGATCATCATCGGAGCTTTTAAGAAGGATTGTTCAATCATCAGCTTCCTTTTCCACCAAGACAAACCCATCCTAACTCACCTGCTCAATTCTAATGTCATCGTTTTCTTTATTTCTACTTTCCACAAAGGCCTGAGCACCAAAGGGTATATTTCTCAACTGAATAAGCTCTGTAATTGTTGCTTGTGTTCTATGTGACTCTTTCTAGGTTTGACTGTCAAAAAGATTTGTTGGAAACAACTGACTTAATCAGTGACATATTGGGTTCATCTCTCTCTCTCTCTCTCCTCGCATGCACTGTCTGCACACGCCTGGTGTTTTTGTTAATAGTGATTCTGTGTACGTGGCAACACCAAAGGGCCCAGCATATGTTATGCAGTGTTTTCAGAGTTGCTGTGTGCACTCTTGTGGACACACATTTTTCATGAAAGATACCATTTTCTTCTTTGTGAAGTCTCAGCCACAGTTTTCATGGGATTTTTTAAGATAATCACTAAAAGCAATACTAACCCAAAGAAACCCCCACAATTAAAGTATAAAACTTAACTGAATTAAAAACCTTACAGTCCAGTGAGACACTGGATCGGGCTTTTGGGGCAACTGAAGGTGAAGCTGCTTCTCCAAGATAGCTAACCGTATTATGCCACTATTTGTCAGGATTGCTAAACCAGTGCATATAGCGACTTTATCCATTCCTTTTCTCATACATAAAGGCTTGTTTGCATCATCTTTTAACAGAATTATCTTGGAGCCATTTATGAGGTCAGAAACTATAAAAGCACACTTAGTTTAATAGAACAATAGAACAGGTTACATTAGATGCTTTTAGTCAGCTTTTAAAAAGATTTCTAGTGAGTAGAAATGTATTTCCTAAAACAGATATTTAGTTGAAGATGCTTATAAACAGTGTGTATATAAAGTCAAATAACCACTACTGTTCAACATTAAGTTATTACCGTATTAACCTTTGGTGTTTTCTGTTGAAACACAACAGTTTTCTATGTCTCACTAAATATCAGAATAATAGGACATGGAATTTGTTAGGGAACGTTACTCTACAAATTTTGCTCCTTTGAAAAATTATTGCAGAATGAAGATACCGTTGCTTCTGAAGGATTAATTAGAACACTTAAATATTTAAAGCCTGCCAGATGAAGTTTTTCTTATTTCACATTATGGAAAAAATAATCAAGAAAGAAAACTAGGAAGTTCCACACCTGCAGTTTCCAGGTGTGAAAGAGCCACATTCCTGTAGTGCTGGAAATAACAGCGTTACATAGTAGTGGTGCTAGTAACACAGTTATATTTTCAGTAATAGAGTAACATAACTAATTTCTTTTTATTTATCTAACAAAAGGCTCATTATTATAATTAAATCAATCAAAGAAACTTTTCATAAGCACACACTCTGCTGCGGGGAGAGAGAGCTTTAAGTGCAGAGATCAAGCAGCAGCTGTGATGCATGCGAGTGGCAAAGGGGACGTAATGTGGGCAGATGTGCAGCATACAATAGTGGCTCCCACAGAGATGTAACTGGATGCACCGGCAGATCTGCATTCAGTTACAGCGTACTTAAACTGGAACCATTTTCTCTAAAATTAAAGGCTAAACGTTCCTTTGATTTGCTTATTATGTTCAGGAACAAAGACTTTATCCATGTCAATGTTGGTTACAAGCAGCTTAATCTAATAAAGCTCCTCACATCGTCTCACTGTCAACAACACATAGCTATAGCTGGCTGTCATTATCAAAACATTGCTCTTTACTTCTTTAGTGCTAAACTGAATTCACTTGCATTAATACTTCAGAATCAGAATCAGAAATACTTTAATAATCCCAGAGGGAAATTACATATTTTCTTGTATGGACATATCGGAGGATAGTCTTCAAGTTATTTTAGTTGGATTTTTTTTGTGGTTTATTTATGGCACAGTGACTCCTGTGTAGCTTTTATCCTAAAGCGTATTTCATTTTTGTTATCTTTTAGCCAGTCAAACCCTGTCAATGTGCACAAATACTATGCTCCTTAATATCTATTTTGCTTTATTGCTCTTCTAGTATAAACATTAAACATAATAATCATCTCATCGTGTAAATAAATATACTGATCTACATACATGGCATAGATTAGTACATCTTTTGACATATATATTCCTTTTGATTAATTAATTATTTAATTGATCATTTATAAAAAACATTCTATACTTAATCATTCATCTTCTAGTTGTATTTACAGTTGAAGTAACAATAATGTTACTTTGCCTTGTAAATAGCCTCAGACTTAGAGACTTAGACAGATTTATTTGTCATTTTGTTTACACAAGTGTAAAACAAAACAAAAAATTTGTTTGGAACAGTTCTCTGGACAGTTTCATCCTTTTAAAAGTGCAGCCTTGAAGAATAGTAAAAAAAAAAAAAAATATATATATATATATATATATATATATATTAGTGATGCACGATATAATCTGCCCCCTATCAGTATCGGCCTGTATCGGCCTTAAAACTGAATATCGGACATCGGCCACCCCACCGATATTTTAGTTTTTAAAGTTTAAAAAAAAAATTAAAAATACTATTTCTTTTTCTTCCTCAAAAACTTCTTTTTTACAGACTTAAAAACTTCTAAAGACGAGGGAAAAAATATTGATACATTAAAATATCACAATATCTTCATATGCTGATATATTGCCATTTAAAAACACCATATCAATCTCTTTTACTGATGAAATATTGCTATATGTCATCGTTATGCTACGAAATCCCCCGAAAATTCATATTTTTATGTTGATATATTGACGCGGTATCGATCTATTTTACTAACAAAATCTCACAAGAATTTGCAAAATATCACGAGAGTTTGTAACAGAATGATGACATTTGACGAGATTTTGAAAGTAAAATAGATCGATACCGCTTTTTTAAAAATCTATTTGATATCAGCATATGAAAACATATTTGAGTAAATTATTTTTCAAAGTGTCAGAAATGGATAACAAAACTGCTATTTTCAATGACTACTTATTTTTGTCCAGCTTTAACATCGGTATCGATATCGGTTATCGGCTACATGAGTTTTAAAATATCAGCATATCGGATATTGGCCAAAATCCCAATATCGTGCATCCCAAATATATACATATATATATATATATAAATACAGTAATATAAACATTTGACTGTAAATTTAGAGTTCTAACTTTTTTTTTTTTTAGTAATGAGTAAATTTCGGGAGAAGTAAGGGGAACTAAACTTACTTCTCCCAGGGAAGTAAGGAACTTAAGAAAATAATAATAATGTCAGATAATTGGTGGATAAAGAAAAGAAAGTTGTGGACCAGGCAAAGGCGTTGGCTAAATCTGAACCAATGAGAGAACCAATGTTTAAAATACTTATCTGGCCACTCAGTGAGGAAGAGGCCAATACTTCAAAGCAGTATACAGTTAGAAGCCAAAATGCAGTGTGCAAATACAGTCAGGAACATACAGTAGACCTTAATATCTGAACTATAGTTCAACGTTGTAAAATGGTCAACGACATTACAGTATGTGGAAATGCTGATGCAATATTTCAAGACTGTAAGGATGTGTTGAAGGTTCATTCAGGCAGTTGAAGCTTGAAATCAAATTTGATCAGTAACAAATTGATGTGACAACATAAAAAGCTTTTAACCTGACTTGGTTAACCTTTTGTGAGAAGCTGGTATAAAGACACCTAAGACATGATTTCATCTACAATATGTCAAGTTTAAAACACAGTTTATCTGTGAAAATGGATATAAAGATCACTAAATAATCTTTTATTACTCTGCAAAGGAATGATTATGCATCATTCCAAAAAAGATAAGTTTAGCCAATGTTAATGTAAAAGATTACGAGAAATGTATTACCAGTATGCATTTTTACACAGCACAAGACAACATCTGGTTTTTAAATTGTATCAGAGAAGGACTGATGGATTCCATAAAAGTGTGAAAATGTATGACTTTATGTGATGGACTGGACATGACAAAGATTCAAAATGAGAGGAACTAGAAAACACACCATATCAATAAGGCAGCTATGTGAGAATTTTAATTAAACAGAAATGGGTTTCAGGCAAGTATAGCATCAGTAAAATGTATTTTCCAACGTTTTTATTGTCATTACCCTGTCAAAAGTACAGTGCAACGAAATGAACTCTCTGCATTTAACCCGTCCCCTTGGGGAGCAGTGGGCTGCCATTGTGAGCTGCCACTGCGGGGAGCAGTCTGGGGTTAAGGGTCTTGCTCAGGGACCCAGTGGCAGTCTGTGGGAGTGTGTGGGACTTGAACCCAGAACCTCCGAGACCCAAGCGCAATGCTCTAACCTCTAGTCCACCAATCCACTAATGATTAAATCTATTCTTTTAGTATATAATTCTCTTATGTGGCTACAGTTTATGATGCTGGTGTTATTATTATTATTATTATTATTGTTTTACACATGTATTTTAAATACCTTTTTGATCAGGGATCACTCAGTTAATGATGTGTATCTGTTTGATAATTAATATGTTTTTAATTTTTTTACTTAGCCGCACTAGCACTCCGTTTTAAACTTTAGGTCAAATACTCCAGCAGAGGAACATGATACTTGCCAGTAAATTTGATTATTTGGCTCTGTGTACAAACTGTGTTGCAGATCAGAAAATAATTTGAAATTGCTTGCCTTACAACTTGCCAAGGAACCAAATGTCTGGTTTGGACAGAAGTAATTACACTGCAAAGGCGATGTAATAGCACCCTCAGATCGTAGCTGTTCGACTCCTTCATGATCACTTTATACAGCTGCAGCATGGCTCCAGAAGCTCCAGCTGATAACACGGGTGCAGACTCTCAAACATTGACAACATTTGTATTTATAGGTGATCCATATTAGATGACACAGTTCCCCACAATGCACTGGGATTTTTTTTTCAGATATGGATAAATGATGCACCAACATAAACATACTGCTCCATGTTTTGACTATTTTGGTCCTTTAGATGTAAACATGTCACTAAGAGTGCCTGTTTTCTGACAAGCTGATACAAGCTTGCACCATTAGGTTTCTGATTGCATAAGAGATGTTTACAGCAGTGTCACAACCTACTCCAGCAATGCAGAGCCTCCATTTTTTATTTTCAAAATAATCTTGCTATCCTCATGGTCCATGAATTAACTAACTCAATCACTAAAGAACCATTAAAATCAGATATGTTTGAATCAGTCTGAGGATTCCATATGAGTCCTCTGATGGTAATTATCTGTGATGGAATATAAATGCCTATTATGCTGCTGTGGCTCTAGCAGCAGCTGAAGCAGTAAATAATGCATTGGCTTTAATCACCTAATGGTTTCCAAATGTCCAGCATTTCATTACCAGGCCCATTCCTCTCTGAGTATAATTATCTGATATGAGATTCAACAAAGAGAGATATTCCATTTGATTTTGGCTGCAGGGGCGTGGAGCTGCTCACTAGCTACCTTCCTTGTGCTTGTAGCAGAGCACAGTTTGGCCTCAGATTATTTTCCTCAAACACAGAGGACTCAAAGACTGTTCATGACTTTCAGGCTGAAAAAGTATAAGTTTAACTCACTTATCAGCCAAATTTGTTCTCTGTTGTTGCGATCAAGAGAATCTCAAAGCCAAAACTTTATGCTTTATCCTTTATAAGGAAGGCTTAGTTTCCATTATGTCGCCTCAGTTTAAATTATAGTTGACATCTTAACTACTAACACATATCTTTGGATGCATTTACTGATTTTAGATGTTTCATAGTCAATACTTATGATTTATTGGTTTTGCAGTTAAAGTCTTTTATATCCCAACTGTCTTTGACATTTAGCACCTGTTTTAATGCTTTGATTTTTATTTTATGTAACCCACTTATGCCTACTAGAATAAAGTGGGGTCATCGTAATCAAAATTAAATATGTCAGCTGGAAGTTACGCTGTGAAATTTGTGATACCAGGAGTCAGAGTTATTTTGCACAATTAGGGATCTGTATCAACGATAGGGATATAATATAAGAGGTTTAAAATCTGTACAAAGCAATGTAAACATGTTTAAGATTACGGAGAGATTTAAGCTTTTTTATAATTACACAATAATGCCCTAACAATAAATGTTTTCTCTTTGTTTGGTTTGCTTGCAATGGCAAAATGACTTTCGATAGGTACAGTTCAGTTAAGGGGCTATTGGCAGTCTTCTTCCACCATAATATATGTTGGTATGCATGCATGACATATGACAATTTTTGTACACTATAAATCTTTTTTTCTATAGAGCTATAAATGGATAAAGCTAAGATTTTTCAAAAGTATAAAATACTACTTGCAACAAATACTCTATTGACTGGCTGCTACAATCTTTATATCACCAGCTGCTTTGGGTGGCACCTGCTTAAGAAAATGACCCTATGTCCTTCACTTTATTACGGAAGCCAAAAGCGGTTGTGTCCCTCCGATACTTTTTCAAGGTGGTTTTCTCAAGAAAAAGAGTTAATTTTCTCATTATCTTAAGATATCAAAAGCTGTTTTCTCATCATAAGGAGATGATAATTTTCTCATTATATAAGACAACTGAAGTTGTTTTCTCATCATAACGAGATGATTGGTGTGTGTTAAATCCTTCAATACCGCAACAGCGGGAGAGGATTTATAAGTATAAGTCATGGCAGCCTATGTGTAATTCTGTAAACAGTCCTGTGATTAACTTTAAAGTAATAAGACAATGTTTATGGTTTGATGATTTGCTTCCACTTCTGATTCATAAGCAATTAGACCTATGCCTTCGGCGCCTTAGGTCTTTTCTGACCTTAGGTGCTGTTTGTTTTCTGAACAGCCCCAGTGTTACACCTGTTACAGTATAAGATGCTTTAACCCACCAAAATGAGTCCGGATTAAAGATTTTCTTTAAAAAACAGATTTGTTTCTACTGTATACCATGCCATGCAATCATCCACCACGACCTGACAATGAGTGAAAAGAAAAAGGAAACAAAAAATCTGATTATTTGTGCACACGCAGCTCTGCAAATGGACACATACGGGCACCGCAGGCATGGATGGACTGGGATTCCAGTCCTGTTGTCCAGCCTCATTCATTACTCATACAGGTTAATCACCTCGTTATCTGAAGAGATCAATTACTGTTTTCTTGCGATGACGAGGTAATTATCTCTTTATCACGAGAAAACAATCAATGGATTAACCTTGATAACAAGATAGTTACTGTATGACACTATCTCGAGAGGGCCAAGGAAAAAAGTACGACCGCTCTCGGCTTCCGTACTTTACCAATATGTATCTCCAGATTAATTGATCTATGATTATGGATGTTGCTTTTGGTCAAGAATCTGGAGTTTTCCCTACCATTTTTTAAAGCAGAGAATAAATGACTACCAAATGATTTTGTCATGTTTTTCTCTGATTTGCAGGAATTTTAAATGTTTCCTTGTACTTTTTGTGCAACAAAGACTTCTTCATACATTTTAAGAAAATGTATTTCTTTCTTTCTTGCTTTAAGGGTTCTACATGTATATTGAAACATCCAGACCACGTAAGAAAGGAGACGAGGCTCGGCTTGTAAGCCCCTTTTTCAACATCGCACCCAAAAACCCTTATGGCAACCCCAACCCGCCTGCATACTGCTTTGGCTTCTTTTACCACATGTATGGAAAACACATTGGTAAGACATGCTTTTTGTATTGATTACTGTTCGTTTCTGTTGCGAAGCAAACATCTGAGTTGCTTTGTAAAACAAATAGTAATGCATGCAATGAGAGATTATCTTAATTAAATCATAAACAGAGAAGAAGAAAAGAATAATTACTCTGGCTCTTTAAAAAAAAATTTGTTGTTGATCTTTGCCTTCTTCATTCTATGTTCAAATTGAATTGCAATTCTCTGCTTAATGAAAGAGATTCACAGAAGTTTCTCCACTTGTAAAGAAAGTCAATAAAGACATTCCAAACTTAATTTTATTTATAGAATCATGCAATTCTTCAACTATCTTTGCGTTTCCGATATGAAGCTACTACCAATAAGCATTCATCTAGAGAAAAAAAACAGTTTTACTACAGAGGCCGGCATTTTTTCTTCTTGTCATAACGAGAGTTGTTATCCATGGTGTTTGCAGTTTGGAGATTTGTGCTTTGAGGCTTAAATCTAGCAATTGCGTCTGACAGATGTATCAAGCAAAAGCTATCTCATTTTAGCAAGCCTCCTTAAAGGTGTGTACAAAGATCCTGGGCATTAGCTCTTAACATTCCTCTCTGAATATAGATAACAACCTTGCATGGTCCATTTGAAGATAGTGGACTGAGTGAAGGGGCACTCTTTTGCTCACCAATGCCTATCTTCACCAGGGACCCAATCAGTCGACCGTCAGCACTCCTGCTCTCTGAGTACATGCTGTATGCAGTGTTTGTGCTTTTTGGGGGTTGTGAGTAAGACAACCCCTGCTAAACACTAAAAACCACTAAAACTGTAAATAAAGGCTGTTTGTCATGAAATCTCAGCCTTAGGTTTCCTTCCTATCATTAGGGGCAGCATTTATTACAAGGGTAACCTAAATGAGACTGAAACACTCACATTTGCAGCTTTTTCTTCCATGTAAAGTACTCTTACTTAAAAAAAAATATTTAGAAAAAAAATAGTGATCTCTTTTATATTAGTCCAAATTTACAGTCCTTTATGCACACATCTTTAACAATTTCATCAAACCCTTAATTTTATCTTGGGGTATTGTCTAAGCTTTTAAAATGGTTTATAAATGACAAAGAATATAATATTGCTAAAATAGTTTTACTTGATCTTTTAAAACAAAAACTTTACAAAGAGTCTTAAATGGCCTGTAAATGGGTTTAAAAATTTTCCTAAAGTAAAGCACAGTAGTAGCTGCATCATGGTCTGGTGATACCTGTCAGGGAAACTCTAGAGATTGGGATTATATATTTTGGTGAGAATTGAGGACAAGGGTCGGTTTCCCAAATCAAAATCTTTATGTATTTTTTATGCAGTTGGTCTTTTTATATGTAAAGTGAATTTATTTTTGGAATCAAACAGGTGTAAATACTGGTGTTGGACATCATCAGTGTTGCATCGTTCACATTAAAAGTTCCTTTTAACAATAAACCTAAACAAAGTTTGTTTTTGAATTGAAAAATACTAACTTAGCATAATACTTGCTGTACCTGTGTCCTATGTATTCTACAGTCAATCAGGCTATAAAACCACACACATTTTTATATAGCTCCTATCCTTCAAAGCCCATACTGATAGTAAATATACTTTGTCCTGTTATTTTAACTTAAAAAAAGAAAAGTTTTAGTGGAATTGATTTAATGGAAAGTCTATTATATAGTAGTCCATTATTAGTGATCATCAATAAAGATGTCCAAACATTTGAAATACTTTGGTTCTTTCACGATTTAGTTCACACGTATTAAATAAACCAATAAAAAAAACATGTGAAACATAACATATGCTAATAAGGACAGTCTTCTTCGGAATCATACATTATAGCATACTGGTGTTAGACAGAAAATAAGAAAATTAATAAGATAGTAAAATGTTAGACGTTTGACTGCTTTTAGCACCTTTTAGGACATCTGATGTCACTTAAAAGTGATGAATGAACATGAAAAACTCATGAATGTTTGGAGATTGGGGATACTTTTCTATTATTTTCAATGAGGAATGTAGAATATTAATAATTGAGTTCAATCTGTGTAAACTGAGCTCTTGAGAAATGTTCATTTGTACCGCTCTGTTTAGGAAGGAGTGAAGCTAATTTAATTAGACAGTGTCAAACACTGCTGAAATGTCTAACTAAGCCTAAGCTGTGAATTCCCTGTTTTCTGTGGCCACAATGATCTCTGAAACGATATGCACGGCAGTTTCTATTAAATATATATTTAGATTGTTACATATATATGAAAAGCCTGTGCAGTTCCATTAAACAAATCAGATGATCAGCCAGTTTTTTTTCTGATATCTGATGTCACTGTGAATATAAGAAATGTCATTAGAAGGATCCCAGCTACTGTTTTTTTTTAAAACAGGTTCAACGTTATCATGTTTGAAAGGGACAGAGAAATATGAACAATTACTATAACAGTGAGGAAATTAAAAAACAGAAGAATAAAGCATGGATGGGATTAGCTCTTAAATTAGCTTTTAAATAGTAAAGGTAGGAACATTCACTCTTAACGAATAGAAAAAAGTTGTTTCAGTCAAAGTATATAAATACAGATATGTAGTTAGTTTTTGTTTTAATATGAATAATATGAGGAAAAATTACACAATTCCAGTGTTTTCTAATCATCTACTGTAATTTAACTACATTATGTTGTTTTAAAGAAAACCTATAAACGTAATATTTGAACCCTTTCAAATGATACAGTGGTGCAGCTTTGAAATGTTATTTTTCTAAACATAATCAGACCTGTACAGTTATCCAGAATGAAAGCAACAGTTCCTCATGAAAACCACCTCATAGATAGATTTTAAAATTTGATTTTTCTGATTATAGAGTCTCCTACCTTTAGAATGTGAACATTGGACAAGGGTGTTTGTGATTGATAAAAGTTTTATCACGACTATAGCTCTTGGCTGGTCCTGCTCTTGTTGTTCCTTGACTGTGGGAGAGGATTGGTGGCAGACCCGGAAGAGAGAATAAGCCGGGCCAGAAGATTCAGCTGAGTGTCACCTCTAGCCAATTGCACCAGGTGAAGGAAGGTCCAGAAGGGAAGACACCATGTGGGCCCCTTTGTTAGGGACTGCAGGCTTCATTGCTATGCAAGTGGAAGAGTTTTTGAATTAGTAGTTGGTCAATTTGAGTTTAATAAGCAAACATTGGTAAACAATTTAAAAGATTAATCTGAGGTAGGGATAGAGGCAGTCAACAATACGTACTCTCCTCTGGCTACGGATGACCACTTCTGTTTAAGATAAAGAGGGGTTTAAGAGCAGATTATAGTCTGTGATTTTACTAAGGGTTCTTACGAAATGGCATCATTGAATTGTGCTTTTTGATGATTATAGAAATAGAAGCTGGACATTTTAAAATTATTCAACAAAACTTCCCTCTTCTGGGGTTTGTCTGAGAGTCGTACATCATCCTCAAGGTGAAAAAATCATTTTATATGTCTTTAAAATGTCTATGTCATTGTGGAGAATAAGTGGAGAGAGGCCAGACTTTCTGTGCAATTTCAAGGCTGGTAGCAGAGCTGTTGTGGTTACATAATGACAAATATAATAACATCAAAAGAATCAAAAGTCTTAAACTGAAAACACCCATGAAATCCAGCTATTAGTGAAGGAATGAGTCAAGGTTTAATGGATTTAAGTATTTAATAAAAACATAAAATGAATCATATGTAGAGAGTGGAGTTGACAGGTCCGCTTCCTCTGTTTACCAGTGATGATTTTTTGCTATATATATATATATATATATATATATATATATATAATTGATTCTCTTTGACTAAACTGTGAAATTTAGAGCAAGCTACCCTGAGATGTGCAGATATTACTAAGAACATATTTTGTACATTGATAAAAGCATTTTTCAATGTCTCTCATTAGGTTTACCACCGTAAAAGAGTGTTACTGCAGTTGTATACTGGCCAAATGAATATAGCTGTTTATCTATCAAATGCCAGTCACACAATTTGAAATCCAAATTGAAAAGCATTTCCTGGTTGTGCATTTTAAATGTAATTATTTAAGACAAATTGCAAATTGTATTTATGACTGCATTATTAAATAATGCAATTTGAAAATTTCTTTTCCAATCTTCATTTCTGAAAAAATATTTAAAAACCAAAATTCATAATTCTGATTATTCACTACATTTCCTAATCACACAGTTAAATGTATTATTCCTTACTCTATTTCCGTTTATTCCTTTATTTATTTTAAAATCTTTTTGAAATTGCATTTCGTTTTTGCTTTACCTGGTCCATTTAGCTTCTGGTTTTCTTTATCAGTGACTCTCTAGGTCCTCCTTACAAATTCATTATTTTCTAATTTGTCAGTCTCAAATCTATCAAAAATGTGATATCTGAAAGGTGGATTCACTTTGCCAGAAAGCCTATATTTGTATACTTAATTAGAGCTGCTATACATTGATGTTGTGTTTTTTTTTTTTTTTAGTTAAGATGCTCTTAGCTCCTTGAGAGTTGAGAAGCAACCATGGGGCTGTGAGGTAACAGAGCAGAGATAAAGAGGATAGAGGATTTTAGGTTCTTATTACCAGTCTAGATAATTGGTGAGTATGGAAAGATGAGACCTGTCCAAACAAGTTTGAATGGGTGGAGAAATGTGTCAGGCTTGTTTTGTGATATAGGCGGGGAGAAAAAAAAAGGTTTAAAATATGGCAGTATGACTAGCAATGTTGTAAGGTTTGCAATGTTTTAAGGAAGACAGGAGAAAGAGCTGGTGGTAACAGATGGAAAGATGTTGAGGTTCCCATTTTGGAGGAATAGGATCAGGAATAAGTAATTCAGGCTGGACCACTCATAGTACGCAGCATATACTGTGTATGTTCACCTCTGTTTCCTGTTCTTTACATTTGAGGATAATTTGAGTTATAAAACAAGAGAGTTCTCTTTTCAACATTTTAATTTCAAGAACTATATATATGTATTCTTGAGTTTTTTCTAAGAATGTGTTCAAATATGT